GCGGCTGGGGGCTGGAGCCGTGGCTGCACTGGGCTCTTCTTGGCAGGGGCTGGGTTTGGGGCAGGCGGCAGCAGCACCGGGAGGGGAGTTACAGGGGGCTGCAACTACTCCAAATGTTATTGTAGCCCCACAGTAGCTCCACTCCCAGCACCACCACCACCTGCCCAGTGCAGCCCTGTCTCAACACCCACCTCCCCCAACACACCTTGTAGAGTTGGGGCTGCACCAGGCAGGCGGTGGTGACACTGGGGAGCCATGGTGAAATTAGAGGTGGCTGCAGCCCCCTCCGTAGCCCTCCCACCAGCACTGCCTGTACCAAGCCCAGCCCGCACCATGAAGAACCTGACACAGCCCTGGCTCCAGCCCACAGCTGCACCCCCTACCCCACCCCATACAAGTCCAAAGTCACACCCCACCCCGTATGCCCTCCGGGGTACACGCAGTGGTGAGAGCCACCCCCCCCCCCCGACAAGCTATGGCTCCACCCCACATTGTACCCCATCCCTCCCTTACCGCAGCGGGCTTTGATCTGCCCCTCCACACCCCTTCCCTCCCCCATCCCTTTCCACCACAACAGACTTCCCAGCTGCACGCAGCTCTCCACGCTGATGGGCTCTTCTCCTCACTGCCTGTGTTCTGCACTGCGGCTGCACATATGCACAGGTATTTATCAGCCAAATTATTGGCAACTTCTGGTTGATTTCTGATACAGCCAATTTTCTTTATATTGGTCCCAATCTGATATCGGACCAGTGTATCAGCACACCTCTAGGAAATACTGCTTCCTCCATGGGCAAATCAATGTATGTTCATCATATTTATGCACTCACCTACCAAGAAAAAAAGATAGATAAAAGCTGATATTTTCAAGCGTTTCTTTCATTGATTTAAAGCAAACATGATAATTGATAAGCAGCATAAACTTCACTGTTATTTAGTATGCATTGGCTTGAATGCTGTCCTGTCAACAACAGAAAGTGTTGGTCCCTGTGGTGCATAGTACTTCTATTTGTATGTACTTAGTAATTGGATGTGCCTTAAAAATACTGAGTTGGATTATATGGTGTTAGGACAGCATTTTCATATGGAAGCAAGATGGACATGGACACAAATTACAATAGCCACATTTGCAAACAGCTGAGGGTAAATGGAAAAAATAAACATTTTTTTAATTCACTTTTGTCACAATCTGATGCTAAGAAGATACAAGTTTTCCACATCATGGTTCTTCTTTATCAGCATTCCACTTCCATAAGCACACAATACCTTAATTTTTATTCCAGGGACGTCAAACTCATTTGGCCCCTGGGCTGGATGAGTGGCATGGAGCTGGTCCATGGGCCAGATTGAACTCACAGGGTTCATCTATATGTGCAGTTAGCATGGCTGAATAAACTTCTGCGCAGTTCGTGCCAGAGTTTTTTGCTCCTGGGTGCAGCGTTTATACGTGCACCCAAGACTTAAGCATGTTGGGCCAGGGCAGCACAGCCCCAGCTGGCAGCAGGTCCCGGGGGTCAGCCTGCCAACCTTGAGCTGCTCCAGTGTGGTTCAACATGCTGCATAGGGGCTGGGTGGGGTATTGCAGTCCTGCAGCCCCAGCCAGCCCCAGTCACCAGCTACATGTACGTTGCACTGGAGTAAATAATTCTGCCATAGGACAGTATTTGTGTCAAGCAGTAATATCCTATGGAGGATTTGATTAGTTTACTGTGGCCTAATAATGTTGCACATGTAGCCCGTGATGCTTTGCTGTGAAGATAATTAGTCAACTCTGCAGGAAAGCATTTGTGTAGATGCCACCACAGACCAGTTCCACATGCTGAATCTAGCATGTGTCCTAGAGCAGTTGGAATATGCACTGTATGCAGTATGGTCCTGCTCCAGCTACTCCAGGGCAGTGCTACTTGTGGCGGCTGCTCTGCCACTCCAGGATGCAAGCTGGAGTAAGCACCTCATGCAGCATGTGGGACCATCCAGCGCACCCAGCATGCTGCCTGTTGGTCAGGGCAGCACTGGGGACCAACTGATAGGGCTCCACTGGTTAGGTCCAGCCCATCGGCTATATCTTCAACACCCTTGGTTTATGCTGTTTCTTTCTCTGGTTACTATTTCAATATTTTTTTCCACGTACAACTTTCTCATTTGAAAGTCTTGAATTCATGACAAGCATGTTCACCAGCGATGCCTTTGAGAAACCTGACCCTAAAAAGGCTTGTCAGTGATTCATACAATTCACAGGATGGTGTATGCTGTTTCATTCTTAAAATAAGGCAGGCAGAGTAATTTTTAGGAGCCTCGTATTTCTTTGGATTCCTGTTATATATTTAAAAAGATAGAAAATGACACTTAGCTGTCTTTTTCATAGGTAAAATAAAGAGCTGATTGATTACAGCTGTATTTCTCTGTATCGCTCAAATATTAATAGAGACAAATCCTGCATGGCTGAAAGTGGCTGAAACTTAGCAGTGCTTTACTGGTAAAGTTAATCTAAAGGTTATCTGGGCATCATAAGTAAAATTCTGTATTTTGCATATTTCCTGTTTAATGTGGTATTACATGGCTTATCTGCATGCTGAGACATTCCTAATTCTATATATTTCTGTCATCAGTAGAATCAGCATTTTATTCATTTTGATCATAATCTGAACTAAAAAGATAAAAGGCTTCCACATTCTTATTCTTTTTTATCAGTATTTCACTTACAAAAGTATGCAATCTCTTCATTTCGGTTCTTTTTTTCTGTCTGGTGAGATGGAAAAAGAAATAGAAAGCAATATGTTGACATATGGATGCTGTCTAGAGACTTATTTGTTTGAGTGAAGAATTGAAAGAAAAGAAATGCCCTTTCTTTTGACTACATAGGGAAAATATTCAAGTAGGTTAAGCATTTAACATGATAGCCAGTTTATAGTCTTAATCCTGTACCTATTAAGCAATTTTGTCTGGAATTAGTGCCACTGCACACGTGTGTGTGGTTGGACTGATTGTTTTCCTCTACGAAGATGAGGAAAGAAATTGTTTCTGTTCTCAAGAGAACTGTTGATGTAAAAGGCCATGAAACAAAAATGTATATATATAGAATTTGGTAGTTACAGGACTTAGTTATCTCTCATTCAGATTCTTATACCACAATGGTTGCCCTGAAAGGTCTGACTTCATAAAGTATTGACCAGTCATAGCCCCAAGAGGCTTCAGTGGACGTTCGAGTGCTGTGCCCCTCTCAGAATCAGATCAGAAGTCCTTAGCTACTGTAACAATGACACTGAGAGAAAATTTCCTTATGAAATATAAGTGGTGAAAAGTATTTTATTTAGTGTATGGGCCAGTGTTCACTTGGAGTGGTTTCAGAACGGGAGGAAAGAACTGCTGTTCAGGAACAATTTAATTGTGGGTGCTGAGGAGGTGCATTGGAGAACAAATGTTGACCTCTTCTTATATATATCTACCTCAGATCTATGGGGATTCCCAGAAAAGATCATACAAAAGCCTATGTTGGTAACAACAGGTTTTAACTCCCAGCTGTTGGCACAAAGAAGTCCAAGATGAAATGCTTAATATTTTGTGTTATTTAAGGGGAGCATCCTTTTGCATTTTGATATTGTGAAATGCCATTGCACTAGGATTTTTTTTTTACCCTAATTCCTTTGTTTCTTTATATTACCTGCATTCTCTATCCATATATTCCTATGTATTTTACATTTTACTTAATATATTTACATGCAATAGAGATTACAATTTTCAGATTTACTAACAGACTGTTAAAGGAATCACAGCAGCCTGAGGACTTTCTCTTATTTAAGGTTCTTAAATTATTGCCAGGTTCTGAATTTCATGCTTGAGATGTAGTAGACTTAAATGGTGGTCAGTGTTTCCCCAGCCCAAACTACTGAACTGTGTGACTATACTTATGCTCTTTTATGTGGTTTATTTATTTGCTTTGTTATTCCTCCAAGTGTATACCAAATTTGTCTCTGGTATAAGTTCCATTGACCTCAATGAAGTTACATTGGGGTGAACCTGGCAGTTGTTTATAGTGCAAGACTTGCTGTAAAATTAAATGCATGCTAATCAAGAGTGACAATCTAATGCAACTAAAACTGTTCTTTTCCTCATTATAGTTCTTAAGTGAACCAGAATTGTTTCACATCAACTATCTAGGAGCATACTTTCGCTAGCTATATATACCACATACTGTAATATCAGTGCATGATATAAGTTTATATGGTGCCCTGTGGATACTACTATTAGATTATCAAGGGTCAAATGGACAGTTTTCCTTGGGCTTCAGTTGTCAATGAGACACACTGTAACACAATAAAAGTAACCTAGAGGCATCATATAAAATATTACACATTATTGAATTACGGAGTGACAGTAACTAATGAAATGAAGCAAGCTCTCTGCTCTGTTATTTCACTGCCATTACTGTATCCTAAAAATATGGAACTAACATCATCAACACCTTCTGTGTGCAGAGTATATATTGAATTTCTGCAGCAATCCAATTGACAGAACCTCTCCACTAAAGATGTGATCCTAAGGAGGTGCTAACCATCCTACCTCCCAGTGACTACATTAGGATTTGGGGCATGCTCAACACCACCCAGGACCACCTGCTAAGTGTTTAACACAGGAATTCTACAAAGAATGTTTTTCAAATAATGTTCAAGGGAACTTATGCACATCTATATTACAGCTAACTGAACAGGGCAATTATGCTGGACAACAGACCATGCTAGAGCCATGCAAGAAGTTTTCAAACTTTAAAGAAAAAGTTAATTTTTATTTTCTTTTACCCACAGGTCTACCCCCGGATAGCGCCGGCATTTTGGCACTACCTGCGGGTAGAAGTGAGTAGCGGGTATTTGAATACTCCCACATCTTTACTTTCCTCTTTACTAGTACTTACTGAACTCCTAATTTGTCCATTGTGCAAAATAAGTAGCTGCCATATTAGCTGCCATTTTCTGTGAATTTAGTCTTGTACTAATACCATATTACTTTGACTACGATGTAATTACTAACCCAGTCACAAAGATGCAATGTTCATTGTGTGCAAGATGTAGCAAAATTTCTTTAACTATCTCTAAGCCAAAGTCATGTCATACCTTCTGATGATAGCATAATATCAAAGTATTGTAATAGGATTCATACTCGCACTTCCCTGTATAAATGCATTTGACATTCATAAGAAAAACATAGAGCTTCAGTTTTGGAATGTCACTATTGCAAAGTCTGCGCAACTCGCCCTGAATCATTTCTCCCCTCTTTTGTCCCTCAGGAGCATGAGCAGCTCAGCTACTCTTCCACAAGGTCCAAGGCTCCGAGTGTTATCATCACAGGTCTCAAGCCAGCCACCAAGTATATATTTCATATCAGAGTCAGAACGGCAGCAGGATACAGCGGCTATAGCCAGAAGTTTGAATTTGAAACTGGAGATGAAAGTAAGTCTTACTTAAGGGAAAAAAGCAAATGCAGTAGTAGTAGCATCTAATTGGGAGCATGAATGGGCTAAGTCTTCACTGTCCAACAGGTTAAAAATGAAAAAAAACCCCAAAAAACCCTCATACAGCCCCCAAATAATGAGGCATGAACAATTTACAGTAGAGTAGAAGGGAGCAAGTTTTTACTGCATTTTAATTACTCTGTGGGTGCATCTACACAATGCACTTTTGTTATTGTGCATTAAATTTAGTACCTCCAATTTGAAGTACTAACTAAATGTGCATCAGGCTGCCCTAATGCGCAGTAGCAAAAGTGCATGCTTTTTTAGTGAAACTTAATGCACAATTAGGTAATTTGACTATGCATTCGTGCATTAACACCTAATGCACAGTAAGAAAAGCTACTGCGCATTAAAGTACATGTGTAAACATGCATGATTACTGCCCATGTTCATGCTCTTATCACCCTATAAGAGAAAGCTAAGCCATGGTAAACTATTCCTCTTTCAGTAAGAGCTAAGCTACTGCAATTTAGCTTCTTCTTATCATATAGTAAAATAATGCACACAGGCAGTAATCAGAGGCATAACAAAGCAGCTCTGTACCCTGAGCAGTGGCAAGGCATGGGGCAACACCACCTGCAAGCAGTGGTGGCAGCAGCTGTTTTTACACCCTCCCCCCCACCAAAGGCAGCACATTGGGCTGCTGGGTGCTAGACGGCATCCTGGTCACTCCCCCTCAGTTACGCTACTGGCAGTGGTCACAGTACAGATGCCCCAACCCTTTTTACCCAAAAAATTGTTCACTTGTTCATACTCTTAGCCTAAGATGACTGTTAAAAGAGGTTCTTTGTCCTGCCATACTTCCTGTCTCACTCTGTACCTTCTCCTCCTTCTTCCTTTAGAGGCTTTCCACCTTTCATCTTGAAATGCAGCTAAGACCCATATGATAGAAGTGCTAGAAAAATAGCCCTTTGCCTTCACGCAGGGCCCTACAGTTGCTTTCAGCATTCCCAGCATCTCTAGATAAAATTATGGAGACAATTACACGTATTTTCAATCAACCAATAGGTCTGCAATGAGCCTACTAAAGACCTGTGTAAGAAGCAATCATATAAAAAGCTTCAAACAGATATGTGAACAATTTCTGTAATGAAACCAAAGCCCCCACTAAAACCACACATAGGATGTTTTCAAGAATTTGAAAGAAAATTAGTGTAGATGCAACACTAAAAACACTCATTGGTGAAATTACTTTAATTAACCAATTACCCATTCCAAGCTTCTCATTAATGTAGTGAAATTCATGTTGCCTAAGCTGAAGTACAGATTCAAAACTTCTAAGTGTTTTCAAAAATGCTCGTGGGATTTATGCTCTCAAGTCCCACTTTCTGGCTTAGGGCCAGATTTCAAGGTATTTAGATGCCTAATTGAATTCTCAACTGCATCTAAATGCCAACTCCCGTTGGTTTTAGAAGGAGTTATGTACCTCAACAATATGGGAAATTCCACTAGATATCTATCTGTATCTCTAAGTACCTTTAAAAATCTGATTTTTAGGCACCTAGTAGCTAAGTCTTATTGGAAGTTAGTGGGATTTAGGGCCATAAGTGACAAGGTCACTTACAAAATTGTGGCCTAGCTTCCCAAGTCATTTAAGCACCTTTGAAGATGTTGGTGTAAGCAGTAATGGCTCATGCTTTCAGATCCAGATGACTGAAAAAGCAATTAGAAATGCTTCCAGGTTATATACTCACCATAACCAGAAAAACCTAATCTCAGGTGTCTGAGACTTATAGCCATTCAGATCCCCTTAGGGGCCTCCTCCAAGGTCAGGATTTTTGTGGGGATTGATTCAGTGTTTGAAACAAGAGACAATGGTAGGACTTTAAAGAGCATCCAAGTAAGTTGGGAGCCTAAGGCTTTCAATAGGACTTGGGGTCCTCACTAGCGTAGTTGTTTTTATAGTCCCATTAACATGGAGGCAACAGAACAATAACAGTTTGTGATCCAGCTATAAGGGAACAAAAATAGACAGTGCGTTGATGTAGATTGTACAAAGCCACTTTGAATGTCTTTTGAAAATCACTGGTAAATTCTACTACTGGAGACATTCAGTAGTTTTAATGAGCTGATAATTAGCTCTTATGTAACTAAATGTTACGAACTAAATGGTAAATTATGTAATTTAGAACTTACTATTCAAACTTCTATTCCTGTCTCAGAAGCTGTCGGTTTTATGATTTCACAAATGAGATCTTGTATGAGACATCACTTGATTGTAATTGTTCGAGGCATGCACCTTTCCAATGAGCTATCTTCTCACTATGTGACAGCACAGTTTCTTGTAGAAGTAGAACTCTACTGAAATAATATGATGAATTTTCTAATTTCAATACTCTTAAATACTTATTGACTCTTAATTATTTCTAGGCATCTAGTGCGTGTAAATACCCATCATACGTTTCTCATTAACAAAATGTTATTATTTGGGTTCATATTCTATGACAAACATGTAGCTTTATGTAAATAAGCTATCACTAGGGCAAAAGGAAATAAACATCCTTGTTCTTATCAAGTGAGAGAGCTGTACTAATAAAGTCCCCAGCTCAGTTTGGTAGTTTGTAATCACATCTGCAGTTAGATAAAGAGTTCAGCTCAACTAAACGTATTTTCATTCAAGGTGCTATTGCAACTGTGGTCCTGGTTAAGTATCACTGCAGTCTCTTTCTAAGTCCCAAACAGAAAAGAAAACTAGCAAGAAGTGTATCTATAGCAAAGGTGTGGCACTGACCTGGGACAGACTTGGAAGGGGAGCAGGAAAAAAATGGCTGCACAATTGCACTCACTAGGGCAACCAGACATCACTGCTGCCCCGGAGCGTAGTAGCTGCCGTAGGTGCCAGGCTGCATCATTATGACACTGGTGAGGAGTTTCCAGTGGCCAGCCACAGAATACATCTCCTGTCCTGTCTTCTAGCAATTGCTTCAAGGAAGTCAAACACACATTAAACTTCTTTCATTTATTTATGCAGGGCATCCTAACTTTTTAGTGTGGCCTGATCTTCTGTATAAGACAAGCGAAACAAATTCACCTTATTTCTACACCAGGCTCATGACCCCTAATTGAAATGAAACATTGCATTTAGATATGGCACTTGTACATAAGAATCTATTATCCCACAGATAAAATATTCCAATGTTTGATCCCCCTTATTGTTAAACATATGTGCTCTATTTTTACCCTCACTTTGTTTATTTTCAGTAATGACTGAAGCAGGTTCTGCCTTTGTCTGCTAAATTTTTAAAATTGCCTATTGGAAATCTCTTCCTCCTGTAGGTCATTTTAGACCCTTCTCTGGGTAAGATAAATAAATGGAGGTTTTCCTCTTTTTCCAAGGTTTTTTCTGAAGACTTCTTGTGGCTCTCTTCTAAAACCTTTCCAAATTATCAACCTCTCTTTGGACAAATGGATGTCTATACTGAACCTAGTATCTCATTAATGATTTCACTGACACTGTATAAAGAGATAATGCCACTCCTCTGTTCCCTTGCTTTTAAATCCAAGGTGCACACTTGCTCTCAACTATAGCATGTCACTGGAAATTCATGAATAACTGATTTTAGCTATCATAACCTGAAGTCACTGAGTTACTCCTAAGTCTTCCTGGAAAAAAAGATTCAAGGAATGGGCAGTGAACAGGGAGTTGGGAGTTTAGGTGATGTCTTTCATAGTGCCCATACAAATGATAGAATCCTGCACCACAGAAACCTCATTTTGAGTACTGTAAATATTTTATGATGGGCAAATCTTAGGTGCTTATTAGATTTGAAGAATATAACAAGTTGGCTTAAAACAAGTAGTGCTCATACATGAAAAAATAGGATGGGGGTTCATTACACTCCAGGAAGAGTACATTCTAGGAAGATTACATTCACAGAAAGATGCAAGTTTATGCTCCCATTATTTTCAGTTACAATGTATTATTTAGTGTAGTAAGTACTTTATTGTTTCAGCAAATCAGATTCTAGAATATCTATGGTATATGCATAAATTGTCCCTGCAGATAATTGAGCCTGTAAAAAAAAAGGACCAGTTAAGAGGGAGTTCTGAGTCTGTTCAAGTGTATGTAAAGTTTAATAATGTGTGATTTTTACCAAGTGAGGAAGCCACTAACAGAAACAGGCCATAACCCTTCTGTTTAGGGGAAGTGCAACATTCAGTGAACCAAAAAAAAAGTGACAAATCAATGCAAAAAAACTAAGAAGGGGCTCAAACACCACAGTGAATAAATGCTTGAGATGTGTTCTTCGCATCTGCAGAGGGTTTTTTTTTTACAGTCAAAAACTTTACTGGCAGGTGACAAAATGAGATGGAAGTCATGTTTCTTAACTTGTGAGACAGGTATATTTATCTTCTAGTACAGATTGCTATTATCTCTGTCATAATACCTACAGAACCCAGTCTGCTTATTCTAACTGGATGGGTAACTGTGTATGGCTGCTCTTTTTCTGATTCCTTCTCCCCTCTTTCCCCTGCCCATGCCCCTCCCCCATGCCCCCTCCCCCCCCCAAAAAAAACCCCAAACACCCTACAACTAAACTTTCTCCTAGTTTGGCACCATACTCACTTGCTTACTGGAAAGATATATTGTGAAGCACCTAGAAAAACAAAGTGATCAGGAAAGGCCAGCATGGATTCACCAAGAGTAAGTCATGCCTGACCGACCTGATTTCCTGATTTCCTCCTATAATAAGGTCTCTGTGGCTGCGGAGAGAGCAGAGGATGTTATTTATCTTGACTTTAGCAAAGCTTTTGATTCTGTCTCAAATGACATTCTCATTAATGAGCTAAGGAAATACAGAATAGATGTGAATACTGTAAAGTGAATATACAACAGGCTGGATTATCATAGTCAGTGAATAACCATCAGTGACTCAATGTCTAGTTTGGAGGAGGTATCAAGTGTGGTTCCCCAGGGATCTGTCCTGGGTCCAGTAT